GATGCTGAAGAGGCATCGATAGGTGGAGGCCGTTCTGGTCTCCAACTGACAACGTGCAACATGTCGGTATTTCACCAGTCGAACAACGAGCGGTAAGCTGTTTATCGCGGACAAGTGTAGAGAACAAGAGATCTCAAATAAAGATAGGTGGAGACAAGAAGCGAGACTGACTTGGCTAGGCATGTAGCTGGTAGTGCGACGTGTTGCGAGCCTGCCTGTGGGTAGAGCCTGAATAATATCCGAGTTCCATTACGCTCCAGCCTCATTTACGACGCGCTTTTGAGTGATGGAAGAGGTATCTGCAGCTGCGGGTCCGTTCACCCTGCACACGAAGAATGAGGATCATGAAGGAATGAGGATCATCAAAGGTGAATGTAGAGCGTGTAAGTGATGCAGCTGAAGAATCAAAGTGGAAAAAGCCTTCGAAGGCAGATCTCGCGTTCTCCCGATGCGCCGACCACGTACTGAGAGAAGGTAGTTTGGTCCGCAAGCACAAAGTAGGCACCACTCTCATATAGCAAAAGTACGTGACAAGTATTCCAGGGGCTCGTGACGTACATAAAGCTCAAAAACAGTCCTCGCGAATTTCGTGCCCTCGCAGTGAGTAACGAAGGTGCCGCGGTCCTCGAAATAAGCATTCCCAACTGCTTCCTAGATGCTCCGCCCACTGAGAATCAAAGGCTATTTTCCATAACGATTTCCCTTCTTACACCGTGTTTTTCCTTTCTCCAGTGATGAATGATATTAGCATTGGACGACGCGTAGAAATGATTAGTGAGCCAAAAGTGGCAGAATATCGCTTATATCGCTTTGCAGGAATAGAACAAGTCCGGAGAACTCGTGCAGAAGGGCCGTCGAGGAACTCAGTCCCATGCACGACAGGGCCACACACGAACACCCCTCCAAGGGCCGCTCCTGGACGACGTTCTCCCCGCCACCCCTCCACACCGACCCTCCTTCCCCCCGTCCGAAATCTTTCCTTTGCGCTTTCTCTCTCTCCCCTACCGCAGCCAGCTCATCTCTATACCCACTGCTATCGCTCTACAGCTGAACGCCCCTTCCCCCCCCGCACTACCACCTCATCCCGCCGAGATTTGCTCCTTACAAGGCATCTTGGCACCGCATAACATCCTCCATCCAAGCTCCACGCCTACCGCGATTAACCTGCCAGCGACAGGCTCCACGCCGCACCCCCGCCAGCCACGCACCGCTCGCATCACCACTGCCCCTTTTCCACGGACAACGGCTTCGCCCCTCCTACCCTAACGCCCGGCTATATCAACTCAGCCACCAATCCATTACCGACCCAACGCCATGCCACCCCGCCCTCACCACGAACATGAACAACCCGTTCCTGACCGCTCTACTCATCTTGACCTAAGCAATTTTGAACGCGAATTGCCGCATCTCGCGCTATAAAGCCTGCGCCGCTGCACTCGGTGCTGCATGGATATATGAGTACACATATGCAGCCGTACCTTCGGTAGCGGTTATTGGCAAGATGCCTACGGGAAACTCGTCCAAAATTGATTAACGGAGGCTCTTTCTTCGCAGGATTTTGACCGTTTCACTCCGTTCTTTCGCCATTTCCCCACTATATAGCGCCCTACTAGCATTTTAGGCCGAGCACCAAATCATCGTGCCAACTGCCTTTAACTGTGCACCCAGCAGTAGTCTCGCGTTTGGCTTCGAAAGTGCAAGCCTAGATTCATCACTCAGTTATCCAGTGTTCTTGAAAACGTGCTGGAGCGTAGGTTTCAAAAAATGATAAAATACCTCCGAGATTGATCACAACTACTCTACTACGTTATATGGCAGCGCAGAAGGTGTGCAGTGCGTTAGCGAGCTTTCTGAATGCACTTTTCCCAGCGTTTTCACAGCTTTTGTGGTTCTGGAAAGTCTTTCTTAGTGGCTGTAATCGATTTTTCACCGCTGTACTGACTTCTTCACTGGTTGCAAATCTTCATCCCATAAAGCCCCCTCTGAAGACGAACGGCGCGATTGCGTTTTGTGGATAGTAGAGTGGAGTTCAAACCTGTAGTCTCTCAATGAGATCGATCAGGCATGAAAAAAGCAAAAAAAATCTTGGACAACATCCCAAGTAAGGATCTACCACTCTCTCTGTACGAATTCTACGTTTCATGACAGCGAAGCGATATCCTGCCGCCTCTGGCTCAGTAATCGTTTTTAATCGTCAAAAAAATTCATCAAAAGTAATCGTCACCTAATGCTAATACCTACTTAAAAACAAAAAAAAAACGAAAAACGCAATGTAAAAACTGAACCCATGACAGAAAACGGGCTTTAGTTTGGCTGGGTGGGACAACTCAGAACTGTAGAGGGATACCCTTAGAGAATGGCAATGAGGACCAGACCACTTGTACAAGGAAGGACGTTCACGGGTTGCTCGTGCGTGGGGACAGCGACTGTCTTCATGGGTACAAACGTTTGAAAATCGCCCGAGGCCAGGTCTGAGCTATGGTGCACATTGCAGTACTTCGAGCCTAAACTTCTTTGTGGTGTCGGTTGTCTGTTTGGCAGAATGTTGCCAAGCTATTATTTCTCTTTATAATTAGTGGAAATCAACAACGAAGCTGCCATGTTTGACAGCCTGCTAAACTCTACCACGGGATTGGAAGCGACACGTATTTTGTCGGCACTAGATACTAACAGCGCTACTAGCCCTGGAAAAAGAAAATGCAAAAGACTTCCACTTTCTGACTTTCCTCCTTGTATTTTACTGCGGTAAACATGAGCATGTGCGAATGAGAATCCGCCACAGCCCATAACAGCTCAAAGAGAAAATCACATTTCCGAAAGTTACGCGCGAGGAGAAGGCAGGTAATTGCAAAAAAGCGACTAACAAGGGAACCCCAACAGGTCGATCCGGCCATTTGCAGTGAGATGTATAAATATGGACGTGTCTTGAGCCGCCGAATCCAAATCTGCCCTCCGATTTTGCGGAACGATTCTCCAAAGGGAGTTACGGACCATTTAATCTTAGCTCCGTTTGCTCAAGTTGAGAAGGATAACTGCATGCGGCAAGCCGCCGATGGCCTAGTGATAAGGCATGCTTTTATAGGACAGATGGTCGAACTGTTGGATATCCTTGCCTATCGAAATCTTTTGCTTTTCATTTAAAACACTTGGTATGAGCCCTCCGAAATTTCTATTTGGCCATTTCGCCTAATTTCTTGATTAGCCAACGAAAGGCGGGCGATTCCCCATGTAGGGTTCCTCTTGAAAACTTTTTTATTATGAGGATAACCACATGTCACAAGGGTTTTTGCAATGAAATACCATCATATTCATGTTCAGCGGGTCAAACTACCCCTGGGGACAAATTTCTAGCCGAATCTGATATTTCCACCTAACTTGGAAAATGTGTGCTGTTTCATGGGTAATCGAAAGCATAGGGGAGCTCACCTACCGTTGGTGAATGGTCTCGAGATGGAACTACCTCGTGGTAAAGAGGACGATGATGCAAACGGGCACGGGCAAGAATAAGTAAGCCGGGTAATGTCTTTGCGAAAAGGCACATGAAGAGGTATTTCAGTTGGAAAACCAGTCATCATCAGTATGGTAGTCGTAGTATCGCTTTGGCTATCAGTCAGCCACAGCTATTCATAACCCATTTTCTCGAAAATGAGTTAGAACCTCGGATTCCGCTGGGGTGACGTCTCTAGGGTTATTTGACCCCCTGAACACGAATATGATACCTGTTTTGCGCGAAGAGCGCTGTGAGTTGCGCTACAGGTGCTAACGCTTTGGCGCTGGCGCGCCCGGAAGAAGAAAAGCAATAAAAGAAAAACCTCACAACTCCGCTCAGAGAATCGTTCCGCAAATTTTAAAGATAGTCTTGTGTTCATCGTGGCAAGGTGAGTACAATGATGTACATTTCGTTGCAAATGGCCGGGCTGACGTGTTGGCCTTTCCTGGTCAGCTTGTGCAAACACAGCAAAGATTAAATGGTCCGTAACTCCCTTCAGAGATCGTTCCGCAAAATCGGAGGGCAGATTCGGATTCAGCGGCTCAAGACACGTCCATACGTATACATCTCATTGTAAATGGCCGATCGACCTGTTGGGGTTCCCTTGTAAAGATATGTGGTCATAAGCATCACTCAGCAGCTCTCTTCCTACCCCAAAAGAAAATAAAGTTGGAACAAACATTAGTGAAAACCGCAGTGCGGTCCATTCAACACACCTGCTCACACCAATTATGTTTCCTTTGAATGGAGTAATATCTGTTAATGAATCGAATGTGATATATCGCTTCATAACTTCTAGCTTATCATTGAATACAGTCATAGTACTTCCCATTGTGGCTGCTATGCAAAGATTGCTGTCCTGCAATAAGCGTCAGCATATCCGGGCAAAGGTGAATAGAGAAAAGTAGCAATGCACGAACAAAATTAACCAAAGTTGGCCAGAAGAAGGTCAAGATCTTAACACGATGAAAATACAACTTAAATCCACAAAAATTCCAACCTTTTCGCAGACGCAAATTCTCCGTATGGGCTCTTCGTCTATCTTTTTAGACTCTGCGAGAGAAGAGCCACTTTCCACATCCCATTCATGCACGATACCGTCTCCACCTGTAATCTTCTTGAACAACATACTTGCACAAATTCTACTATACATAACTTTGTTATATTCACTGACCACTTGAGAACAGGCGGTTGCCATGAGGTGCAATAGAACCAACGTAAGCAGAATGCCCGAGACAAAACGACTCTATGATATAGGCCTAAAATGATGAAGGATTTAGTTGGAACATTCGCTTCTCTCCTTCCAATAGCTGCCCAATCCCTAAAAATCATATTTCAGTAAAATGTTTTGTCGCAGAGCAACTGACCTCTGGATATCGCGAAACTCGGATTTTTTCATCGCGATCAGCAACAAGTAAGCGCCGACCATCGTTGGAGATCGCAACGTCAAGAACCATGGAAATTGCACCCGTAAGAGGTTCGCCCTCATACGGACTCGTTTCTCCTGAACAACAAATCGTTGTGAGTAAAAAAGAGATCGACCATAGATTTATCAACAATATTCACCATGTCAGTGAGCATTCAACATGAGTTAGCTAACTAATAGAGCGGTTTAGTAGCTTCAAGGTTGGGTATCAGCACCTGGACTGCAACATGTACAATGTGCAAACAACTGCATTCCCGTTCCATCTACAAAAGCCACAACGCGGTTGGGGAACATTAATAGTCATGCAGACGGTGGTGCAAGGTCGAGTGAAACTCGTATTGTTGTATACCATAAAACCGTCCCGACTCCATCATTATAAACGTGGAACCTCCACAGTAAGGCTGCGTTCACACTTTGCGTCAGCGTTTTGAGCGTCACCAGGTGAAACTAAACATCGTTGAGGTTTAGCGAGTAATTCTGAATTATTTTTATGGGCAGTTGCGAAACTCTGAAAATGTACGCTGGAAATACTAGATCAAAATGTACAGTTTCGTAGCAAAACACTGACGCAGAGTATGAACGCAGTCTGAATCTTGTTATAAGGCACGGTGTAAATACAGGAACAGTGGAAGAGTGAGTGGAGACAAAAACGCACCATTTATATCCGTATAACCGCATTTACTTGGTGGAGCGACGGTATACCTACATACGTGGCCAGCTCGATCGCCCACTACAACGTGTGAAGTGTCCTAAATCAGTCAGAAACACCCTGAATGAATGCAGAACACCAAGCACCCCTTTTACCTTATCAAATGTCATTGAAGTTGGTGCTTTTGGAATCCGGAACCCTCTTCGAAAAGCTAATGTAGGTAAGTCGAGAATAAGCACCGTCTTCGCAGACGTAGCAACAGACAGTAATGATCCACA